TAAATTTGATGATGCCACGAATTAGGCGTTTTGCCGTAACTCCCTCAGCCTTTTCACATGGACCTGCCTGTCTATTTGACCATGATTGTTGGGGGATGTCTTGAAATACTATCGCATTCAGTCCCTTGTAGTTCGTGGATCGGCCAAGAAACTGCGATGTGCCAACGTTTTGAATAGGTAATGACAGTACAAGAGTGATGGCCTTGGACAATATAGGTATTATCCATACTGTGCTCAAAGCTGCGCAAATAGCATTTCAGCACTGAATTGTCATCTGTATGTCCAAGTCGAGCATACTTGTATGTGTACAGGTCGGCAGCAAAGTTCTTCAGTACGAATTCGGTTCTATATATCTTCTTAAAAGTTACAATTCCGAAAGACCACGTATTTTCTTTTTTTAAGCAGTCATCATGACGTTGGTTCCTCCCTCATACTCATTATCTTTCGACACTGAGGCCACGGCCGCGTAATAGCGCAGAACACCGAAGAGACTCTGTATCATCAACTCCCAGACGCCCTGCTAAGTCATGTATGTCCAGTACAAAAAGAAACAAGAGTGGAGGCAATTGGCTAAGAACGAGGCTGAGCCTCTTGTCAAATCTATTATCCCTGCATCTATTAGGACGGCGAGGGAGAAAACGACAACAACCAGATTACGTCTATTAACAAAGATACTTGTAAATCTTCTTCCAGCGCGGCCAGCTTCTCTTCTCTTCCATCTCCTGGGCAAGCAGGATCGGTAGGTTAAAGTCCCTCCGGCCCGTGTCAATGTCCATTTCGTGAATGTGCACCATAGACGTCCTATAATAGATACGGTGGGCCAAGTAGAAGAGAATGACTATGGGTACTGCCATGTACTGCAAGAAGAAGTTCTCGGCAAGCTCAATAGCCGACATGGTGTGGTAGTCGACGGGCCAGGCGCCAACCCAGAATTGAGCAGCCAGCACGAGCAGGTTGAGGATGAGGCCGACCCAGGAGCCCCAGACGCCGCACTGCGATCGGAAGGCAAGCTCGCGCAGGCTGTGGCCGTTGAGGGCCCAGGCCTTGCGGAAGCGGATGTGCGCCAAGCAGATGGAAGCCCAGGTGAAAATGGACGATAAGCCCGAGATGGCAAGCAGCCAGTCCAGCACCGTCGACTGCGTATCCAGGTCGGCCAGGTACGCCAGCAAGCCCACCGACAAGACGGCGATGATGGCGACGAGAGGTCGGCCGCGGCGGTCGACGTAGGACAGGATCGAAGGCGCCTGGCCCTGGTCTGCGAGGGCAGCCAAGGTACGCGATGAGCCAAAGACGGAAGAGTTCCCCACAGACAAGACCGCGACCAGAATGACGACATTCATGACGGAGGGGAGGATCTCGATGCCGGCATTCTCAATGGCAATGACAAAGGGCGAAGCGGCAGCATTGGCGTTGCTATCATTGGAAAGCAACCGTCGGTCAGTATATGGCACGAGTAGACCGACAAGAGTCAGGGCAACAATGTAGAACAAGCTGATGCGCCAGAAGACTTGCTTGATGGCTGTCGGCAGTGATTTGCGTGGGTTCAAGGTCTCAGCAGCGGCCAGGCCGACCAGTTCAGTGCCAGCAAAGGCAAAGGCGGCCGTGACGAAGACACTACAGAGCCCTTTGAAGCCATTATGGAAAGCACCGGGCGAGTGCCAATATCTCCCTCCAATATATCCCGAGTCGGGGGTGCCGCCAATGTTCAATACGATACCAAGTAGTCTGTAGGTGATTTTTGAGTCAGTCAACCTGCCTGCCAATCACTAATTACCGAATTCCTATCTACTTGGGTTGGTTGGGTCAGAACTCACATGAAGCCAATCACGGCGGTCACCTTGATAATGGCAAATATGAACTCGGCCTCGCCATAGCCCTTTACGCCAAAGAAGTTGATCGCTACAATGCAGATGAAGAATATCGTCACGAAAATGGCCCGGGTCAAATCTGGGTTCCAATAGGATATGGTTATGGATGCGGCAATGATCTCTAGCGGGAGGACAACAATCCACTGCATGGCGTAACTGGTTGTAGCGCCGGCCAAGTCAGTCTATCATGAACACAAACAATGGATGCATGCAATGCGAGACAAGGCAAGATGCGGGACGGGCGCATGAGAGCATAGAAACGAGGGGAGGGGCACTTACTTCCAGCCCATGGCAAAGCCCCATGACGGATCGAGAAAGCGCGTCGAGAAGGCAGAGAATGATCCGGCGACAGGAAAGGCGACTGCCAGCTCACCCAGGGCCTGTACTGTGAAATACAGCATGGCGCCAATAAAGGAATAGGCAATGAGGACCGACGCGGGGCCGCCCAGCTGCAACGCCCGACCCGAGGCAACGAAAAGACCCGTTCCAATGGAGCCACCAATGGCAATCATCTGCAGGTGTCGACCCTTCAGCTTTCTCGCCAGGCGCGACTGGGCGGTACGGAGCGCGGCGCCGCGCATGTCATAATAGTGGCTGCTGCCGTCTCTGAGCAGCGGTGGGCGGGCATGTATGGAGCCCACCTCGGCGACCAGGATATCGTCCATGGGGTCCTTGGGGAGGACGCTGAAGTTTGGATCCCGCCGGAAGCTGTCAACCCAGCGGGCGAACCGGCCTTGCGGCTCGGCATCTTCGTAGACGGGCTCGCGCATACCGAGGCCGTGGCCGCCACCTACTCCTCCGCCGCCCCCGCCGGTACCCACGGTCGTGGCATAGCTCCCCATGTTGTAGTGATGGTGGGCTGCTGTGCCAAATGAGTCGTCCTTGAGCGGGTACAGCTTGAGCTCGATATCCCGGCTTGACGGCATCTTGTATAGCTTGGGCCCGGCCGCGCGCCGGCCGCTTCCACCAGACTTGTCTTTCGTACAGTCGGCTGGATTATATATCCTAAGAGCAAGGTTGTTGATTACCAGCAGACGACCAGAACAGCCAAGTCAATGAATCGACCTATCTGCGCAAGATTTAATGTGCAGAGAGTAGCCGAGAATGTTGTGCCAAGTGGAAATGCATGACAGTGTATGTCCACGAAAGGTTGCCAGCGCAAAGTGGGCGGCGCGTTGCGGCTTTCAAGTCGGGCGCAATATGTCCGTGACCTCGGACGCTCTTCCTGTTTGCTTGTTTTCTCTGCGCGTCTTCTCTTGTCGCGCTCCGTTTTCCCTCGGGTATATCAATTTTTGATGCTCCAACTGAGTACGTGCGAGGGGAGGAAAGAAGAAGAAGAAAAAGTAAAGGTGCTGGTTGTCAGTCGCAAATCCCGTCTTGCTTGGCTAGCGAGCAATTGCCGTCGGGTCTATGCAGCAGATAATGACTGGGCCAGCGTGCGTACCTAGATGGTTGGGATCTGGCCTGGTCTGGTCTGGTCGGTCTAATTTGATCTGGTCCGGTCGGGGTCTAGTCTTCAGCCTTTCATTGACCTGGGTGCCGAGATACGTAGATAGATGGACAGATAGTTGGGTCAATCGTCCTGCTTTCGAGGTTTTTGGCTTCTGATGAGAGAAGAGTCCCAGCCGAGACACGGGGGGTTGCGGGTTTGCATGAGCACATATTGAAACAGAGAGAAGCCCAAAAAGGGCTGGCTAGTTGGTTCGCTCGCTCGCTCGCTCGCCACGCTGACGGATTTGGGCTGACTGCCCAGGTCGGTTGTTGGCCACTTGAAGGGCTTTTGGGGGGGGAAGGGGGAAGGGGGTGGGATGATGGAGGGCGGCTTATCTTGGACCTTGGTGCTTCCGAGCGCGCAGTAGTTGCCGCTTTGGCCGTAGAGCTCCGAGAGAGATTGGAGCTTGTATGGAACGCTACAATAACGCAACAAGAAGAACAGCAGCAACAACAACAACAACACACACGACATGCAATTGAAGCCACCAGACACCATGCACACAATCCATCAATTGATACGTTTGTTCATGCACACATTTCTTTTGTCATTATTCGCTCCAAATCATTCGTTCACTTCATCATACACTAAATAATATGCACTACAGGCTGGTTGACATGGGGTGACGGTAGGGGTATTGTTCCTCCTATGACCATATCATGATATTACTGTAACACTGCACCGCCGCTTGGATGGATTCTCTCCGGAGTGGGGGCGCGGGACTGGACCGACAACCCACGGATACACAGAGATGATGCCAGAGGCCATGTGAAAGCTGCAATGCAGAAAAGAAAAAAGAAAAGTAGGAATCCCTGAACGTGCCCACAGAGTATTCAGCTCTCATGCAGTACATATCTATTAGTCTAGCTTCTACCAAGATAGGTACCTCGTGATTTCAATAGAAATCCTAAACGACATCGACGTTTGAACGACCTATCAAACCTTTTTTTCTTTTTTTTCTTTTTCTTTTGCTCACTCTATCGTCTCCCCGTCCGTCCACATCGCTAACCGTGACCCACCCACTTGGGCAACACTATAAGTCTATAGACAACCCAGTAGAAATATGGGGCAAATAAGTTGAGATCCATAACTTGATCTACGATATACACTACACTGCACTATATTTTCCTAGGTATACAGTGTACTGGAAGGTGGAGAGTGTAATATGTATGTTTCCTTTCCCTTTCTCTCTTTCTCCATCTGTTCACTAGGGAGGCAGACAGGTACTGATACGCAAGATCATATGTGATTGATGGTCTTCAAGCCGTACATTGTTTACAAACGACTAGACTTCCCCATCACAAGTGATCATCAGTCAATCCGCTAGGAGGTTCACGCAACGGAGGCGGTAAGATGCTTCACCAGCTAAGTCAGAGAGACGCACAATACTCTGTAGACTTGGGCCAAGCTGGTGCTATCGCTTTCCAGGCCGCGGCGCTTTTACCCCACGACAGCCTAGAAATTCGACACATTGTCTACAGTATTCCCATGTCGCCCAAATTACACGGATATAAGCAAAGAAAAGAAAGATTCTAAAATAGACTTGTTGTATTTTCGATCATTGCCCAATCTGGCAACATTTAGACAGCCCCCTCCAGGGCAATTCCCACAATGAATCCACACAAATCATGCTTCTTCATAACTTGGCAGCGGATGTACTTTCTCCTGCTCTGCTCTCCTTGAACAAACAACTGCTTCGGCATGTATGTATACCACACAGGCGTACCCTGGAACACACACACACACACACACACACAA